AATACAAAAGAAAGTTCTTGGCGTCGCGCGCAGCCGCGATTATTCCACCCGGTTCCGTCATGTTCCCTTGCCTGGCAACTCATTCCAATCGCGTCTACAAAGAAAATCCAACTAGGCAACCAAGGAAACCATCACCAATATATGCAACGAAAACCCCATGCATATTCCGTCTCCATGACTGGGTGGCCGTGACAACAGACTATCTACTCCAATCCTCCTGAACACCACAGTGGACACCCTAAAAATTCTGAACCAATAAAATATATTATGATGAATCAGGAGGGGGCCGGGAAACCTATTGTGAACTCTAACCAACAAGGTCATGCAAAAAAGAGGTACCAACCAAGCAGGATAGGAATACGAGTGGGAGCAGAGAGGGGGGGGGTAATAAAGAGAACAACAACAATGAAGCAACTATGTAAAATCTCACGATAGACCTCAAACATGAATGTAAGGGGTGTAGTGAGGAGATAATCTATGTCCACAATAACAATGGCAACCCAACTGGGTAAATCCCTTTTTAGACCTCAAACATGAATGTAAAGGCATCCAAAGATAAATACCAGATTGCAGGAAGAAAGAAAACTAATAAGGGGCAAACCCCATTATATAGACAAAGGAAACCCAATGATTAATAATCCTCCACTAGTTGCATGTAACTGTGATATGTCTCTCTGCTTCTATCAGTTTCTGTCACACAAGCCAACCGCACAATGCTACAAGACACCTGATCTATCTGCCACAAAGGGAATTCCAGCACAGTAACTGCACTATCCTGATCTTGGTGACCGTGACATAGCGGAATTGAAGAACAGAATAAATTGTGGTGGAAGGGGAAAAAAAATAAAAATGGTTTGGTTGAACTCTTGGCTGAGTGGTTAGTCTGCGTACTGTTCGGTATGGTACCGACAGAGCTTTGATTCTCTTTTTTTTTTGGTGGTACCTTATTGGATAACTACTATCTAAAATTGGTTTCGTGGTGTAGTTGGTCATACACCTGTCTAACACGCTGGCGGTCTCCAGTTCGAGCTTCTTTGAAATCTTTTTTTTCTAACCCTGGGCATCAATGCCACTTCTGCGCTCCACTCTTATCCACTCTAGTCCTGGTAGTTGCCACAGCGGTGCAACGGTGGGCCCAAAACACAGGCAGCTAGGGCAGAGAATAGTGATGCCAATACCACACGTTCTTCTACGCGCTTTAGGGAGTTGTCAAGAGCTGAGCCACTTTCAGGAGAGATGCGACAGAGTTTTTGCGGCACCCATAGTACCCTTCATGAGCGATATTATAAGTTAGCTAGTTCGTCTCGTGATTCCTTTTCAACGGATTGTGGCCACCGGTAAAATGTTCTCCAAGCTCTAGTCACTCGTTTTATTAACCTTTGAGCCTCGTAGAAGTCGCTGGTTGTGTGGTGGAGTGGTGCGGCTTGCGGGTTCACCGGCAGAGGCCTAGGGGCTGCCAAGGCAACTGAATTACAGGGTTTTGGTAACCTGAATGGTTCTCCTGTTCATACCCAGCTATAATATGATACTGATACGGTAGTTTTGTCGTGTCCTCGAAACTGTCTATGTGGTACCGAACACTTATCTCGAAAATGTGATCTGATCATCGAATAAGCCATCTAATCTGATGACCTATTCGCACCTTAGCACCTACCTACCGCCCAGAAGGAAAGAGCCATCTTAGCCACCTGGAGGGAAGGGAGGGAATGGGGGTGGAGGATGCGGGAAAGAGGGAAAAGAAGCAACATATATCCCTGACTTGGCTAGTACAGGAAGAAGCGGGGAATGCTTCTCACAAGAGCTACCCATCGACTTGGGGCGGGGCTGAAAAGTCTCAGACCAAAAGAGAAAGAATTGCCAAATTCCTAGAGGTCTCGAGGGGCCTATGCTTGTATGATACCAAAGAGCTTTGTTCCGGAAACATCTCACAATCCCTCAGTCTTCCCTTTTTCTCTCGGCACCTACCCCCCTGTGTTCGTTTTTGGTCGTCCCACCCTTTGCTTGATTCATCTTCTGCTCAGAGATAGAGGAACCAGCCCGAAATGGCGAGCACCGTTACTGAGGCTCGATCCCCGCTGCACTGTGAGCCGACACCACTCCTCGGGAATGGGAACGACCCGAATCTCGAGTCACAGCCCCACCTCGAGAATGACCACACCGATACCCCCCGGCTACCGGCGATCGGAATGAGGCTAACAACATCCCACAAGAGCTCCCTTCTGCAAAACTTTTGCATTGTCTTGCTGGCAGCTTGGGTTGGCGTCGCTGCCGACACTACTGTGATAGCTACTCCCCTGGCACCAATTTCGACTCCATTCTCTTCATTCAATTCCATCACTTGGATAGCAACCGGGCACTTTACCCTCAATGCCACTTTAAAACCGTTCTTTGGCAAATTAACCGATATCTACTGACGCGAATCTGTCCTTGCGCTGTGTAATTTCATTTTCAGCGTCGGGGCATTGATTTTTCGGCTTACGAAGGATCAATACCCCATGATTATTGGTTGGAGATGGGCATTCGTCCTATAAATCTCCTTCATAGCTATTTCCGCTGCTTTGGTGTCAATTTTCGTGAAGATTCGCGGGAAGAAGCCCGAAGAGTTAAGGTATCGAAGGATTGATTACCTTGGTTCGGGCATGTTGCTGTGTCCTCTGGTTACCCTCTTGCTGGGGTTGAATACCGGCTGAAATACGCTGCCATGGACCCACCCCGTTGGGATGACATGTCTACCCTCGGGTGCGGTTTTTCTAGGCGCTTTCTCCATGGTCGAGTGGTGATATGCGAATGAGCCGGTCATCCCGGTTAGACTGTAGGGGAATAGAACTGTGTTGACGGTTTGCTTTACAAATTGGTTTATGGTGGTGACCGTTTTTGCTGTTGTGCGTCGGCGCCTACCCATCGAGACACACACAAAGCTAATGATATTGTCCAGAAGTACTTTGATCTCCAATATACTTTACCCTCAGCGGTTACTCCACTGCGCAGGCCAGCGTCCGCTTAACGCCCTTCACCATCGCCACCTCAATCGGAAGCCTAGAGGCAGGCCTCATCATAAATGCCACTGGAAAATACTACATCCTCGGCCAAACCGTCACGCCAACATCCGTCCAGGGCGTGCTCCCGATCTGTGCATTCAGCCTGACAATCCCGCTCTTTTCACAATTATCCAACCTTTTCATGGCCGGCTCCGGTTACGGCGGAACACTAACTATCGCTCTGCTAGGACTAATATCTCAGCGGACCACAGTGAGCGTGCCGTCATTACATCTGCCAACTATGCATTCCGTTCCAAAGGTAGCACAATTGGTATTACTATTGGTAGTTCCATCTTCCGGAATGTGTTAGTGAGGCAATTGCGCGTGCATTTGGGAGTGGGGAGGAGGCGGATGGGATTCTCGAGAGGCTGGGGGAGAGGTTCGATGAATTTGACGGGTTGTTCGAGGTATGGAAGGTGCGGAGGGGGTAAGAAATATGGGTGGAGAGCGGGACAGAGTGAGAAGGCTGAAGCGGGTGGAAGCCAAGGAGAGAGGTCATGAGACGAGAAGCGTGACGAGGTATCACCGGACATGCTGTATGCACCGGTATGATACTCTCCGTATTATAGCATAGCCCTTTCAGCGAATGTACTCCAAACAATTACCAAACCTACACCTACTCTGAACAGGCATATGTATTAGTAAACAAAAAAAACAAAAGGTCACAACCCTCTCCCAGACATCCAAAGCCATCCACTTGCGCACCACTGATTTTTACCACTGCCCCACACCTTTTCTCAGTCCCGTTTAAAGATAAAGTACGCAATGTTAATACAGTCCCTGTCACCCGCGGCGCTGCTGAAGCCCTCCCCTTCAAACACATGCCCTAGATGGCCGCGGGGGTTGGTACAGATAATCTTCGTCCTGTGCATGCCAGAGCTCCCATGCTCCTGCCGACCAATGGCACCCGACGTGCCCTCAAAGAACGCCGGCCATCCGCACCTGCTGTCGAACTTGCTGGTGCTCTTGTACGGTGGCGCGCTGCAGCCCGAGCAAGTGTAGACTCCTGGGGACGTGTGGTGGTTGCAGGTCCGACTGTTGGGAGGTTTAGTGCCATGTTAGCGGAGGATGCGAAATTGCTCTAGGTAACGTTAATCGGCGGGGGAGCAGTGTACCAGGGTAGAGGATCGCACGCCATTCATCGTCGGACTTTTGAATCGGTGAGTTGGTGTTTGTGGAAATTTTGTTCGTGGTGTTGTTGGTGGCGGAAGTGCTCAAGGATGAGCCCATTAACTTACTGGTAGCATCGCCTAACCCATTCGGAACGCCACAACCACTATCATACTCAGGTACAAAAATGATGATCTCCCGCTCCATCCTGATGGTGATGGGTTTCACCCGATCAACCGTCCTTTGAACCTCAAGACCCTGTCTTCGCACGCCACTATCCCTGCCATGAGTCTTGTGAGCCTCGGTATAGTACATACCCTTTAATGAACCAAACCCATGCTTTGCTAACTAAGAACACCTATTCGTCCCGAGCCATTGTCACCAACGCTCTGATAGCCCTCTTAGCGGGTCGGTTACTCCCCTCTCAAATCCAACACCATATGGTGCCTTGCGTCCAAAAGGGACGCCATGGAAGGTGCAACACGTAACACTCAACCCTCTAAACACCTAGCACTAAACCCTAAATATCTTCATTTAACTTTCATATAAATTAGTTTCATAATAATATAATTATTCTATAATTATTATTTTCAATAACTTAAGATCAGTTCCTATGGTCTACCTAAAGCCACTACCCAAAAGTCTTGGTGATCACGTGACTTCGCTTAGTGTGTAATAGGTCTATCTAGCGATGATGTGCAGCGATCACTCAGATACAATGGGCAAGAAAACAAAACAGGAACAGTATATAAATTCCAGGAGTTCTAATAACATGTATACCACGCCTTTGCATCAATCACAGTTTGTACCCAGTTAGGCATAGATCTCTACAGCCTTTCAAAAAACACTGGTGGGATGGTCTCCCATACCTCTAGAAGAACCTCAGCCAGCTGCTGCCTAATCTTCTGTGGACCACCCTGGATGCTTCCTATATGGGGATACTGACTGTGTAGGTATTGGTTAAGCTCAAGCCACACATGCTCAATGGGGTTGAGGTCTGGTAAACAGGTGGGGTGATCCTCTAGTTGGATATTGTTGGCATCGCACCATTCTTGCCAGTGAATAACAGTAGTGGTATTAATTGGGCAATTGTGTTGTGGAATTACTGGATCACCAATGGTATCATGAACTTGCTACAAAAACATTGTGGGGCGGGTACCATACTTTCTGAAGAATCATAACATTCACGGTTGCGTGCTGTGGTTGTTGCTCAATAGACCTGCTTACTAAGCTATCACAAGACTTTTAGGTAGCGGCTTTACCCATACCGTCAATTACATTCTCTCAAACTACTTCTATTTCCGATTTAACTCTCCTGTTTAATAGAAGCCCATTGTAACCAGGTTGTTTATACATCTTCTGAGTATAAAACATTTGTACATAAGACATACAGGTCTTATTGTCATATTTCTACAAGTGCTATTAAGTTGGAATCATGATAATGGTAATTGTTGCTTAAACCTTTCTCTTTACTAAATATGAAATAAATTTATCTTTTTAAAGTTTTACAAGAATTTAGAATTAGGTATGGTAGTATGAAAATATCTATTACTAGTATGATAATATATAACATCATAATCTATGGACAAATAAGGTACTTAATTTCAGAAGGTATATATATATATTTAATATGTTTAAAACTATATTAAATATTCAAACCTATAAGTATAATATGAAAATAGAACATGAGACAATTTAAAAGTTTAGTGTTTAGGGTATAGTACAATTTTCTTAGAGGGTTGAGTGTTACGTGTTGCACCTCCAATGGTGTCCTTTTTGAATGCAAGACACCATACAAGTACCCAGTGTTTAGGGCAGGGCCCGAATTTAGCATGAGTACCCAGGTGTGCACGGACAATTGGACTTACAAATTTTACCACAGGTTTTCTTGCTCCGAGCGCCCCATCTTTGTACTCCAGCTCCCGCTCCCTCATTTCCCTCGCCAACAGTCTAGTAGTGGACCACGAACACTCCCTGAGACCCGGAGCCACTCTTGCGGCAGGCCCGGTTGCGCCTGGCCATCTCTGTTCCCCACGTGACAGGCTTTGACGCTCCACCGCGAGGTGGTGCATCTCAATCAATGAGTTGACCGTCTGATTCCCAGGTGCGATAGGGTAGGGGGTAAGGGAAGCAAGAGAAAGGACAACCGGGTTCATGTGTGGAAAAATCGTAGAATAGAGCGTTCTCTGGAACCCGCGGCGACTAGACAGCGGATATTCAAGGCAAAGGATGCGATTCGCTTGGGAGGCCCAAGGCTCGATCCTACTGGTTTTTCTATAGTTTCTATCAACTCGACGGATTTGGTCACCAAATCCTTTCTGCCAATGTAGTCGCCAGTGCACACGACTCTGATGTGCGTAATTGTACTCGTTTCACCGCTTCAGTTGAGTGCTCTACTTCTATGTATACAAAGCTGATAGAGAACACTTGTGTACTTTTCATACATCAAGCCCCACACCGCCCTCGCTGCCTCAAAGACGGCTAATTCCCCATCAAGTAAGTCCTCTGCTTGGCCCTCTACTTGCCCTTGAGCACCACCTGCAATAGCTCTTGTGGTAGCAGACACT